AGGCCAAGGCCAAATCTGCAGATCTTGCGCCAACCAGTGGTAGCGCGGCCAATACCATTGGGGCTCGCGCTGAAGCCACGGCGGACCAACCACCAAGGAGTGAGACAGAGGGCGCGCTGCCTGGCCAGGCCGCGCCTTCCTCGCCCAATACTTTGGCCATTGCAACCTCCCTTGGCTTCCCTCTCTGACGCGTATGGATGCTAACTCCTGGCGGTCGTTGGATTCAGTGAACCACAAACATCATCATCATTATCATCGTCATCATCGTCATCACCGTCACCACCGTCATCCGCATCGTCATCAATGTTATCATCTTCATCGCCACACTCCTGATCACCATCATCAGCCATCATCCACACAACCACAACACCACCATCATCATCATCATCATCATCATCATCATCATCAACACACACACACACCACGGGCCCCACTTAGAAAGGCCCGGGTCCCACTTAGAATGAGCCCTGCTTTGGTGCGGCATTTAGCTTGCTCTGCCATCTCTCTGAATTTCGATGAGCTGCGTGACGAGGTCGCGCCCCTCTGCCAGTGCTTCGCTGTGACTGACGCCGTGCAAAGAGCTAAAGCAGGCGACATCGATGTTCCAGGTCGCGAAGCTGTCGTTGATCGCCACGCGGACGCCCATGCCAGGGCATATGGGACCGACGATTGGCAGCCGAAGTTTCATTTGGCGACGCACATCCCAGACCAGGTGGAGAAATTCGATGCTGCGTTGGATTACGCGGTCGTTGGGGGGTCGTGCCTTCTGCCCAGCAAAAATCTATGTTAACCAAGATCTATTGCAAGGCTCCGGGAAAGCTGCAATTTCCCGCGCGCTGCTGGCGCGCGCGCAGGACCTCGAAGTTTTCGACGAGCGTCCTGGGCTGAGGGGCGGCGATGTTGAAATGCCGCCTCTGCTCGCTGAAGCGGTCGGCGGCGGCGCCGTCCCATCACCCAGTGCTGCGTTTAATGGCTTGCTCGTTTTGAGAGGCGACGTGGCACGCGCACAAGACAAATATTTATGCGTCGAAGCTCTGGGCCAGCGCGGCGATGATTTATTCATTTTTGGGTACGAATGCGTCGCGATCGGGATTCGGACGCCGAGCGCGTCTGTTCTGCGGAAGAACGGTGTGCTTCTTGCGCGGTGGAGCGGTGAACCGATCAAGATGTGCCACGCTTGGTTGGAATTCACCTGTGGTATTTGTTTCGCCTTGCACTGAACGGAAAACGCCACCTGTCAGAACAGCGATCGAACCGTTCATCAACCAATCGCCGCGAGCAGCGGTCGAATCGCTCATCAACCCATCGCCACGAGCAGCGATTGACTCGCTCATCCTCCCCGATCCCCCTCCTCCTTCTGTCTGCCAGCGGGAACCTCATCATCAGCAAAAACAGTGGGGGGTCGGGGCACAAGGGCTGTGCAAGGCGGAGCGCGGAAAGCGAAGATAAACGGGGGCGGGAATGATGGGCGATAACGTTTTCTGCATACAAATATAGTGCGACCTTGGTCAAAGGGGCCCAAAAATGATTCACATCTGCCAAATCTAAGTCTCTTTGAAGTTATGTGTAAGTTCGATTCGTTCATTTGTCTGCAACTTACAACTTGCAGTTGTGATAGTTACATGGCCAAGGTAACTTGAACAGTCGCACTTGCAACTGTAGGCAATCCAGCCAACCGCGTTAACATATAGTTGGGTAGTTAACCATAGACCAACTTACATCACACTATAGCCGCAGTTGGCCATCTTCAAATTTTCTAACCCGAAGTCGCTACCCCAACAATGGGAACACCCTTTGTCTTTGCATGCCGCCTAGGAACGCCACGCATGCCATGCGCGCCACAGGCTCTAGGTGCACCACACACCCTGGACGCCCAGGCGCGACAGCGCGGGCAACAAAACGCTTGTGTCAAACACCGATACAACGTGGTCGCTGGGTGACTGCGCGCGGTCCAGATTTGGATGCAAAGTGTGTGTCGTTTCGTTTTTGTTTTGACCGGGATTGCTGGCCTGCGCGCAGCAAACAATATGTTGGCACCGTCACCGTCCTTTTTCCAAAACCAGCGCGAAGTAGTCATTGGGCGCCCGCGTTTGCTCCAGATTTGGACGCAATGTGTATGTTGTAGCGTTTTTTACAACGGATGGTGGGGGGTCTCATTGGTCTTAGTTGGATGCTGGTCGCCTAGGGGAGGGCGTGCTCATTGATAGGGGACAAGAATTAAAGCATCTCCAGCGCACAGGGCACACGCCGCTTCGGTCACTGCCACCCGCCTTCACAACCAATGCGTAGCACCCGAGTGTCGCTGTCACAAACCAATGCAGCGTGGTCGGGGTGCGCCCACGCATGCTATTTTGCAGTGTCGGTTGACAGGGATGGTTTGCCTGCGCGCAGCAAGCAACATGAGCCCCCCCCCGGCGCCTCCGTCAAACACAAGTGCCCAGTGGTCGCGGGGCGCTCGCGCATTTTCCAGACTCGGAGGCAAAGTGTACGCTGGCATGTTTTATGTTGTCCGTCAGGGGGGCTTGGCTTGCGCACAGCAGTCAGCACGAGCCCCGTCCGCGGCAAGGAACAGCGCAGCGTGGTCGCGGGACGCCCTCGCCCGCTCCAGAAGAGGGAGGCGAAGCGTTTGCTTCCCACATCGTAAGATGGGTTTGGGATTATTGCCTGGGACGCCTCCGCCTCCCACACACCCGCTTCTTGTTCTCATATCCCGCATTGGGTATGTAACTTCACTCAGACGTACTCACCCCTCGTCTTGCCTCTCCTCCTCATCCTTCGCATCCTCTCTCCTCTCCGTCTCGCTCTCTCCTGTCCGTCACATCGTCATCGCACGCAGTGCAGCTATACCCAGACTTACTCACTTCAGGACTCACACACGCTAGCAAACTCATTGCCAGTCAGACTCGCTCACACTCAGACTCACCCACACCCAGACCCACTCATATTCTCGCCCACTCACACTACGACGCAGTCACACAGAGACCCACACGCCTACCCGAATTTCACCCAGACTCACTCGCACTCGCACTCGCTTGCTATCACACCCCAGGGGGCCTTCTAGGGGGCATCTCCTTCGCCCTCGCACTCGGACTCGCTCGCTATCACACCCCAGGGGGGGCTGCCAGGGGGCATTTGCGGCGCCGTCGAATTCTTGCTGCTGGCCGTCAACAAGTGTTCACCGCGGCATGGCAGGCGTGGCAAGGGGGCGCCCGCAAGAAAGAGCCGCCAGGGGGTGTCCCACTCCTCCGTTCTCGGCCAGGCGATGGGGACGTCTCGCGCGGTCTGCTGTCCTCCTCCTCCTCCTCCTCCTCCTCCTCCTCCTCCTCCTCCTCCTCCTCCTCGGTTCCTGCGCCTCGGACTTTCCCCTGTCGGTGGTCCAATGTTCACCGCGATGTGGCAGGCGCAGCGCTGGGGTGCTCCAAATGGGGAGCCGCCAAGGGGGGAATCTCACTCCCCCGTTCGCTGCTAGATGCTAGACTCTGAGAGTGTCGCGGGCGGCTTGCTGGCGCATCAGGCTTCTCTCTGATGGTGGTCCAATGTTCACCGCGATCTAGTGTCGGGCGATCCCAGACATGGATCAAGAGGGCGTGAGGCGGCACCGGCCGCATCTTGGGGAGGGCACCTCCCCCGATCCATGGATTTTGCGACCGCGCGCCAAACCCATGGGTCGCTACTCCGTGTTTGCGCGCCCCCGACCCCTGGCCCTCTGAGAAGTGTTCCGAGCCTTCCCCGATGACACAGAAGAAATTTCTCGGAAGTCGCGAGTGCTTCTGAGAAGTCCCACCCCCTTCTGAGAAGGCCTTCTCCTTTCCGCTTCCCCCCCCTCTCTCGCCGCCGACCCTGGGCGACCGCGCGCCGACTCCACGGGTCGCGAATCCATGTCTGCGCGCCCCCGGTAGCAGGCGCAGCAGACGCGGAGGCTCCGCGGGCCCAGAGGGTGCCTCCGGGGAGCTCGCAGCCGGGGACAGTCCGACATCCCACACGCTGCCCCCAGGCCCCCTCGGGTTATGAAAAAATCATGACGGGAGGTTTTTCGCGATTTTCGGCCTCCAGGGGCCATCACGGGGCCTCGGGAGCGTCAAAAAACAGCTCAGGATGCAAAGCCGGTCATGGGGAAAGGGTCGGGACCTCTGGGGGTCGACGAAATGAACAAATCATACGTCGGGGGTTTGGGTCTTTACCCTGCGTAAGCTCAACAGCGAAAGAAGGACGTTCCGTAGCCATTTTGTCTCGAGCCATTCCATTTTGGCTGAAGACTTCCACGGAGACACAGTCGGCGAAGTTACTCTCGCCCCCTCCCTGGGGTGGCAAAGCTGAAATCTGCCTGAAGTAACGTGGGTGTTGTGGGAAATGTCTAATTCGGCGGACCCCGCGCGAATCTCATCTGACAACAGCTGATTTGGAGGACCGACATCAGACGGTGGCCAGCAGTGGATCACAAACATGGTTCGATTGCATGCAGGTATGTGAATCACCGGTCTCACCCAAAGCATTGCATGCAGAACGAGGTTCAAGCTCCGACGGATCAGGCGACGATTTCTAGATATGTACACATGAGGGGACACGCGTAGGCATGCTTATCGGCCTTGACGTGTTCAACGTATTCAAGATCACGATGCTGGTGGAGCTGAATCGTTCTTCGCACTTCAGCGATTATGGTCGATTCTTTGTTGCAGCGTTGAGTAGCATGAGCTCAGCATCCTTGGTGATCCATGGACTGCTCGTACCACAGCGCTGGAACCTGATACGTATTTTCCCACGGCCAGTTTTCGAAGTCAGAAGTGAATTTCTGGAGTGGTTTCAGAATTGGGCTGCGTCTGAATATGAGATTCGGCCGTGCATACATGTTATTCTCCTATGTCTTGTGGCCAGTTGCTTTTCTATCGGGTATGGTTGCGCCAGTGCTAGTTTGGTTGCCCTTGCTGTATGTGGACGGCTTTGCGAAGCAAATGCACATTGGATTTTAGACTACATTCAGCGTTTTCACCTGGTCCATCGGCATGCTCTTCACTGGACCTTCCATGGTGGAAGAAATCGGTAGAATAGCCGTGCGTAAAATTGTCGACGGTGTCGTCAAGGAGGTGGCCGACATGCGTACCACGCCAAACCAGTGGCAGAAGGTGCTGGACTTAGTGAGGGCGACCGATTTTTTGGTGGTGGACACCTTCGATTGGAAGTGTCTGGGGCGTTTGATCATATTTCGCGTCGCCATGCTCTTCTCGCTCGCAATTGGATTCTTCTTTGTTGGACTCGTCTACTCAAACGACATTTCGAGAACGAGCGTAATGTTTTGTTGGTGTGCTGTCAGCAATTTGCGGTTGCGTTATTATATTACGTGTGGGACACATCAACGAGAAGTGTAGCAACAAGCGGCCTGGCTCTAAGAATCGTTCGGCAGAATTGTTCCATATAATGGTGGAACATGAATTGAAACATGATTCGGAACCGACGGCCTTCCGTCAGTTGTCGTTTTACCTCAGAGAGCGAACGATTGGCATAGAGTTGTTGGGTACTCGAATGACAATTGAGTTTGTAGCAACAGTCGCATTATGAATAGGCTTTTACCTTCCAGCCGCGGCGTGTCATTGAAGGCATATGGCACAATGGTGCCATTGAAGACATCATAAAATAAAGGGCCACAGCGGGAACACCACCGAACATCGGTGACTACGATATGACGCGCTCGCTGCCTTCTCAAGCTTCCCGATCAAAGTGGTGCAGGAAAGCATCGTTAGAATCATTGTTAGCCAGCCGATCTGCGGTTGATCGGGAGTTTCTTTATATAGAGGGAGGGGCGTGCGTTTCTGGTCGTGAGAAGAATGATCATGACTTATCCCTGGGGGCCCGGTGGGGCCTGACCTTCCCGCGCGCCAGAGGTCAGGATGACGTGAGTTCCGCTCAGACTCCTCCAAATGATATCTTGGGTACAATGAACACTTGACGCACATGCGCTGGCCCTTCAGGTCGCATGCACCCTGACTGCAGACCGCAATTCCCTACGAGCCGTTGGGCGTAGTTGGCGGTTCGCATCGGCATCAGTGGCGTGTATCGTGCTCACCACTTGCATGGTTGTTTTGTGAACGCCGCCGTGATCCGTGATGGCATCTTCGATGCGGGTACGCAGTCGCTGCTCGAGAAAATATGATAACACATCTCATGGCTTCTGGGTAATAAGGGATCCCGAATTCTGCATGCCTGCTGTTTTCCCAGCCCCATGGACGCGCGCCACGGCTCGCCTATCGCAGGTTGGCTCGGGCGCCGCTTCCGATGTCTTTCTCGCTCCCTCCTCCGCCTCTCCCTCTTCCTCCCCTCCTCCTCGTCCTCCTCCTCCTCGCGCGGCTGGCTCTTTCGAGCCAGGCTCGGGTGGCTGTGGTCGCAGCCTACTGCATCTCCGCTTCTCTGCATCCCTCGCGGCGGGAAAAGAGTCACGTTTTGTTGGGAGAGTGTTCTCCCGAGCAGTGGCAGAACATCGCCCGCGCACCGAGTCCGTGACACTTGTTTGTGCCCCTGCAGTCCACAGGGGGGGCAGGATTTGTCCGCCGGTGGCGTGGCGTGTTGAAGCTGCCTTTAGGCGTATTAGGACCATAATGTGACGGGCAGAAGCAAAGACCCCCTTTGACCAGAAAAGGAACAAATAATCTGCACTGACGTCATCACCACCAGCATCACCATCATTAGCATCACAACCATCAACATCATCATCATACTACTACTACTACTACTACTACTACTACTACTACTACTACTACTACTAGTAGTATTACTACTACTACTACTACTACTACTACTACTACTACTTCTACTACTACTACTACTACTACTACTACTACTACTACTACTACTACTACTGTGACTGTTACTGCTGCTGCTGCGACTGCTACTACTATTATTTCTACTACTACTACTACTACTACTACTACTACTACTACGACGACTACCACCACCACTACTACGACTACTACTTCTACTTATACTTATACTTCGACTTCTACTACTTCTACTACTACTACTACTACTACTACCACCACCACCACTACTACAACTACAAGCACTACTATGATTACTACTGCGATTACTACTACTACTACTACTACTACTACCACTACTACTACCACTACTACGACTACGACTACGACTACGACTACTGCTACTACTACTACTACTACTACTACTACTACTACTACTACTACTACTGCTACTGCTACTGCTACTGCTACTGCTACTGCTACCGCTACTACTACTACTACTACTACTACTACTACTACTACTACTACTACTACTACTACTACTACTACTTCTACTACTTCTACTACTACTACTACTACTACTACTACTACTACTACTACTACTACTACTACTACTACTACTACTACTACTACTACTACTACTACTACTACTACTACGACTACTACTACTACTACTACTACTACTACTACTACTACTACTACTACGACTACGACTACGACTACGACTACGACTACGACTACGACTATTACTACTACTACTCCTACTACTACTCCTACTACTACTACTACTACTACTACTACTACTACTACTACTACGGCGACGACGACGACGACGACGACGACGACGACGACGACTACTACTACTACTACTACTACTACTACTACGACTACTACTTCGACTACTACTACTACTACTAGTACTACTACTACTACGACTACTAGCACCCGTAGGACGCACTGTCGCAAACAACCGCAATAAGCAGAGTTCCTGAGTCAGACACCCCCCCTTTCCGCCCGGTGTCGGAACGCTGGATCGGGGGGCGCTCATTTGCTTGCCGCCTAGAGCAGGGGCCGCTTCGCTTTCTGTGGGCGTCGTGGATGTTGGACGGAATCCGAGCCTCGTGATTGCGCGTGTCTTTCCCGTAGGACGCACTGTCGCAAACAGTCGCCCTAAGCAGAGGTCCAGAGCCAGATCCCCCCACCCCCTTTCCGCCCGGTGTCGGAGCGCTGGATCGGGGGGCGCTCATTTGCCGTCTGGAGCAACTGGCCGCTTCGCTTTCTGTGGGCGTCGCGGATGCTGGACGGAATCCGAGCCTCGTGATTGCGCGTGTCTTCCCCGTAGGACGCACTGTCGCAAGCAGCCGCACTAAGCAGAGGTCTGGAGCCAGACCCCCCGCTTTCCGCCCGGTCTCGGAGCGCTGGATCGGGAGGCGCTCATTTGCCGCCTGGAGCACGGGCCGCTTCGCTTTCTGTGGACGTCGTGGATGTCAAAAAAAACAGCGAAAGAAGGACGTCCACGCACATGAGTCCTCGTTGGTTTCGAGAGTGCGTATTGCGCGAGCTTTCGTATCACGCGGCTGGTCTCGCGGATTGAGGGGCCGGGTTCGTGTACGTGTTTCGGCGCGTATGTCTTTTGCGGGCTCCCCAGTAAGCGCGGGTCGGCTCATTGTTTCCTAGCAGTGGGCGGTTGGTTGGGGAGTTCACGAACCCTCCTCTCGGCGGCGAGTGAGGGTGCGAAAGTGAGAAGGATAATGCCTGCTCAACAGGGGGCTTCTCCGAAGCCCTGGTGCCGGTGGCAAGTTTTCCGTGCCTTCGCGGAAGGCTTGGAGAGGTACTCAGAAGGCCGGGGGTTTTCCGAGCTTGCTGAGAAGGCCCACCGTTTCTCACTCCCCCCACCCTCGCGCGCGACGCCGGTCACAAGTGAGTTGAGCCACAACAGTCTTTTCTGTTGATCCTCGGTCCAAGGTCGTTCTCCTGGCCATCTGCTGCGTGTGCAACTGCGCCAGCTGCTGCAGCATATTCTGGTTATTTGCCCACAGATGTGAAGACAAGGAGGAAAGTTTTTTCAAGAACTGGTTTCTAGTATTCGCAGGCCTCACCAGTCTCATCATGGGCCTCCCTTTCCTGACCTTCTGCCTGGTGTGGGCCGTGCTGGCTCTGCCGCTGTGGCTGACGCTGCTGCCGTGCGGCGGGGACTGCAGCGCGCTCTTCGACATGGTCTCCGTGCCGCCCATCACAGTGATGACGACCTTGGAGATGTTCAGTGGATAGCTTCCTCCTGTTTCCGATTGCCTGGTGATGGCTTGGGGGCAGCAGGATCGAGCAGGCACACGCCGAGCAGTCATAAGAGTCTGTAGAATCAGCTGCAGCTACGCCGCTGCGTACTCGCCTTAGCTATTGCCTCTGCCCGACGACTCGTCACCACCCCTGCCAATCTTTCTCAAGTTTGGTCCTCGCTTGCAGACGCCATAGGTGTTCGCCCAGAGGATCGGAGGCTCACCCGCGCCGCTGCCTGCATATGCCGTGAGCTGTTGGCACATGATGAGCTCGAAAGTCAGGACATCTACGAAATCGAATCTCTTGCAGAAGTGAATTCTGAGCCAGAGTTGTGTTAGCCATGCGTTACACAAGTCGAGAAATTCCGAATTCTAAGCCATCGGATTGTCATGCACTGGAGCGTCGAACTCGAAGTTGTCCTGTTATTCATGGTCTCACGGCTCCGCGGCGTGTCCTTTACATGAGGGAGCCGCCAAGTTTCACCCGAAGTAGTTGTGTTCCCCGGGCAGTGCTTGCACCAATGAGTTCGAGCGTAGACCTGTTGTGGCAAGAGG